AGTTAAAATAGTTATACTAATACTATAGGTTTCGGTATTAATTAATAGTAGTAGAAACCTATAGAATATAATTATAATCTTAGAGGTATTTAAAGAAATCGATACTAAGAATAAGTTATAGATCTATAGAGTCTTAAATAAAGTCTCTAGTCTATATTAAAATCTCGAAGATACTATCGACTTTCTAGTCTATAATTATATAGACCTTCGAAGTATATATCTAGTTCTAGATAAAGTCCTAAAATTAAATTCCTACTATAATCTATTAGTCTAGTAAGCCGAGAAAGTTAAGAGTAAATAGATTACGCTTAGTAAAAGAGGAGATAGAATTATTAAGGAGTTTAAGTTAAGAAGACTAGGTTTAATAGTTCTAGCGTAGATAAGTATTAAATAGCGAGATTAGTTCCTATATTATCTAATTAAAGTAAGTACGTCGACTTACGATATAATTAAAGAAAATTATATAGATAATTTTAAAGAATAGATATAGAGGAAGGTAAGAATAGTATTACTAATTAAAATTATTAGGAGAGTAAGCTATTTTATAGTCTATAGATAGACTAGACTTAGAAATATATATCGAGGCGGATCGATCGAAATTCTAGTAGATAATATTCGAAAGGCCTATAAAGAAATTAATATATACGAGAGATAAAAGTATATCGCTTACCTAAAGTTCTAGAAAGTATTAGAAGAACGATAATTAAAAGAGATTTATAGTATCTACTAGAAGTATAGAGCGTTACCTAGAAACTATATTAATTTAATAAATAATAGAGGAAACTCTATATAGCCTATTAAACCTACTTTATATATAGAGAAATAACTTATAGGAGGTAATATACTAGGAATAAAAGTTAAGAAGCCTTAAGTAAAAGGCGGAGATACTAGGAATCTAGGTAGAAATCTTAAGTTCGAGGCTAGGAAACGTTAATAGAAAATAAAGACTATTAAAGAAGGAGATATAAGTCCTCCTATAAGAGAACCTAGGAAAAGAATATTTCTAAAGAAGAAAGATATATCCGACTATATAACTATATAGTCGAGTCCGAAGAAGATTATACTTAATATTAGTATTTAAAAATTTCTTAATAAAAAGTTCTACGAGCTAAAGAATAGAACTATTAAAAGTTCGTCTACTAGGACTATAAAATCTATATAACGATAGTTTAAGAATTTATTTATAATAGGGGCTAAGGTATAGAATACTAAGCTAATTATAATTCTAGCTAACTTAAAGAAACGACTAATTCTATATAGTTTAACGCTTAATTTCTTAAGTCTATTAGTACCGAAGAAACTAAATAGGAATTCTACGCTAATCTAAATAGTAGGAGCTAAGGTAGAATACGAAATTTAAAGGATCTTTTAAGGAAATTAAGTCTTAAAGAAAGTAATAATAAATCGAGTCTTTTAGAGCTATCTAATTAAGAGTCTAACGATAATATAGAAAGTTCTATAGAAATTAATAGTTAGGTAGATAGAGAGAAGAGTTAATAACGAGGAAGAAGGATTAATTAATAATAACGAGAAGAATATATTTACGAGTTTTTCTAGGCTCTAGCTTATTAGTATTACTTTAGAACTATATATAAGTATAGCTAATTATAAGGTAAAGAGTAAGAATAAAAGTAGAATAGTTAACGAGCTTAGGTAGATATTCTATAAGTTTACGATAATAATTATACTTTCCTATATCGATCTACGAAGCGATATAGAGTATTAAATAGTAATCTAGGTAAGCCTAAATAACTACTATAATAAGTACGATAATTTAAACTAGAAGATTCGTAGTAGTAACGTACGATACGAAGGCTAGAGTCTTTAAATTAAGAACCTAGGTACTCTAGAAATTAGAAGATAGAGAACTAGATTAGGCTGCGCAACGGGTTGGGTTGGACAACCCGTAGACCTTTTATAACCCGAGTAAAAAGCCCTATAGGGTTTTTAGTCCTTATAAAAACCCGATTAACTAAAAACCCAATAGGGTTTATACCCCTATTGGGTTTAGTCTTGGTAGCCCAAATTACTAAAAATAGAGATTATTACTTAGATTATTACTATTTTTAGTAAAAAATATACTATTTATAGTAATTATTTCTATTTTTCTTAAAAATAGTCTATTTTTAGTAACTCTTAGCAGCCCTATTAGGTTTTAAACCCTATCCTCTTTTTTTTTAATCCGATTAAAAAACCCGTTAGGTTTTTAGCTATTTTAGAAACCCAATTAATTTAACCCTATTAGGTTAGGTTCCGGGTTTTTAACTAGGTTTAGCCCAACCCGTTGCGTAGCCTAAACTAGATAGCTAAACGACTCTATTATACTAATAGCTATTATCGCTATTAGAGGATATAATAATAACTAAGTCTATATTATACTATACTATATATAGAATATAATTAAATAAGGTAAACGTTATAAACTATAGGAAGGAAATAGAGACTAGACTCGTACTATTATTATTAATAAGAATCTATATTAGTTTTTAATTATCTAGAAACTAACTAAGGAAGAAAGAAAAGGTAAAGTCTTTTATCTCGACTCTATCTATAACTATAAGAAGGAGAAGAATAATAAGAACTTAATTTATTTCTACTCGTTATTAATTACCGAAGGATATTTACTAAAAGATATTATTATTAGCGATATAAAAAGTAAGAAGTAATAGAATACTAGCGACTATAAGCTATAGATAATAATAAATTTTCGAGTATTCTATTATAGTAAGGATCTATAAGTAGTATAAATTAATATAGAGACGAGGGTAGAGGTAGTAAATATAATTACTAAAGAAGTTAAGAACTAAAAGATAAATCTATTCTTTTTAGAGAAGGCTTTTATACTAGGCGAGATAGGGGATTTTAATATATCTACTAGGAGAAAGAAGGTTATAATTATCGATCCTAAGGATTTAATTAAGGCTAATATATAATCTATTAGGAGTAAAATCGAAATACGATTAAAGAAGTAACTACTAAAGTAGAGGAGGCTAGACTATATAACTATATAGTCGAATAATTTAGGGAGTACGAGGACGGTTTATTATATATTATTTTATTTATATTACTTTAAGAATACGATACTAGAATGTTACGATTATAGTATAGATATTTCTTTTACTACTAGTTAACTATAATTTCGTTTCGTTTAGTATTTCGTTTAAAGCTTTTTACTCTTTATAAGGTAAACGACTTATATAAGTTATCGAGAGGAACTATTATATCGTTAATTTCGACGTTACTCTCTAAGTTTTCTCTTACGATAACCGGTACTACGACCTTAAGTTAACGAGAAGAATATCTAAATACTAGCTATAAAGAATTATTCTTAATACGATACGATTACTTAGTATTACGATATTTCTACGAGAACGAGGTAATTTCTCTACGAGTTAGCTAGCGAGCCTATAGTTCTAGGTATTATAGATATACTTAAGAGGATTCTCTAAGTAGTAAAGCGGAGAGGAATATATTAGGGCTCGAGGCGCTTAGTTATAAGAAAAGAGAGAAGGAGCCTTAGTATAGAAGAATAAGTAAGGAAGGAAGAAAGTAGATAATCGAAGAAATAAGTAACGTAAAAAGGAGTAACTTAATATACGCGAGCTTATATTAGATATTAAATAGTAGTTATAAGAGTATAATTTATAGAATTAAGAGCGTTTTTCCTTCTACGAGTTCGGCTATATAACTATATAGCCTAAATTTTAGTAGTAGTAATCTTTACGGATAAAGCTATTATAGCTTTATATACGTCTATTACGAGAAGTCTTAAAAGTATAGTCCTTTAGCGGACTTAAGACTATAGAGATCGATAGCGTTACTATTCCTCCGCTAATATAGGTGAGTAAAGAGTATCGTTTTAGTTATAGCTACTATAGTATTCGTTTTAACGTCGATTAGTTCTTATCCTACGGTCCTAGAAGAGAGAGAAACCCTAGTAACGTAGCCCTACTCCCTTATTCGACCTACAGGATAGGCGAGAATATATACCGATTTAATCTTAATATAACGGTAGAAATTCTTCGTAATACTAGAGAGACTCGAGGATATAAAGGGTATAGATTAGGTACGCGTTTAATACTAAAATAGATTTCCTAAGTGTACACTTAGGAAATCCCCTAAGTAGATACGCTCTATACTTAGCATTAATTTTAGCTATTCTTAGTATTTTCCTACCGCCCGAGGATAACGTCTTATTAGACACGCTAGGCACCGTCCTTATAACTAGAAATATTACGTACTATTATTTTAAGGTAGTACTAGACTATATATTAGTCCTTGTTATACCTATCGGTAGAAGATAACCGAAACTAATCCTACTATTTCCATTCTCTTTCGAGACGCTAGTCTCGTAAGTCTAAAGATAACGGAAATGCATTAAGGATCTAGCTCCGTAGGATGCTCGTTAATTCGGTAGAGCTATGGGGCGTTTAGTAGGCAAGTTACTAAATAGTAGAAAGTTAGGGGACGGTTCCTACTTCGTAACTTATGCTAACGAAGATTTAATATAGCGTAGTAATGACTGTCTCGTTACTATCCTAATTATTGGCCTAGACTCGTATTCGACCCGAAGTTATCGTTATCTTATATTCGACTATAAACGGATCCCTCTCGCCGCTAGGAAGTTCTTTAATACCTAAGTACTTTTCTGCGGGATAGTTTGTAACGTAATAGAGGGCAAGTATACCAACAGTAACTTTACGTAAGCATAAGCATAGTATTAATAGCGGCTAAGTAAGGAGGGAGCGGGACTAACCGTTAAGGGTACAAAACATAAAGTATATTTATTCCTGCTCGTAACCGCTTATGTAGAATAAGATCGTAAGATTAACTGTAGTGGCCAAAAGCATTACACACATTCTATTCAATGTCCGCTTAGCGAGCTTCCGTAGATTATGCTGTCTGCGGGTCTCTAGCCTTAGGCTGCGACGGAGGCTTACGTCTCCGGTACCCTCCTTTTTACTGAAGGCGGAGTGAGCATTTCGCATAAGATCTCCGAGAATGCTAGGGTGTACAAAGTGTAGAAAGTAGCTAGTTAGATAGAGGTTGATGGTGATATCGTATATTAAAAGCGGTAGAGTGATTTTAAAAGGGAGGCCGATGTAATATTTGCTGTCGGTAAACTCGGCGACGGGGAACATAAAAGAAAGAATGGCGATGGATCTAAAGCCTAACACGACGATAGTTATATTTACTAAGTAGTAATGGTCGGTTAGACGCTTATAGCGTCGGGAGCGTACGATATAGATACGCTTAACGAGGAAGAAATAGATGACGACCTTATCGACGACATTAAGTAAAGAATAATAGAGGCGAAGTAGGCGCGCTCGGTCCGGACTTTATAGCCGAATCGTAAGGAGGCGACGGCGATAATGAAGCAAATGCCCTAGAAATAAATAACGATTAGGTAGAGGCGGATTGCGGGTAGCCGTGTAATGGCGTCTAGACTAAGGTGTTGTATTCGAAGAGCTGCCGGCTATTATTCTCCGGCGGGCGTAGAGCGAATGGGGATATCGGCCTTACTAAAACAGCTGGATACTAATACGAGACATATTAGACACACGAGAGTATACGAGAACCTCCCGGCAACGGGAGTAGGATCTACATCGTCTATAACTAACCCATCTAGCGACTAAAGAGTCAAAAGACTAGAATGTGTAGGCGAGTGAAGTGTAGATTTAAATTAGTAAAAGCGAGAGAGCCCCGAACTAGAGCCTAACGATCAGGCTTCAACTTTACAAGCAGCGTGCCCTAACCGTACGCCTGCCGCCTCTAGTTAGAGGCTCCGAAACGAGCGTAGATCTTAGTACTTTAGCTAAGTGCGCTACATTGCCTAGTTATACTAATCGTCGGCGAGCTAGAATCTTAGCGTAATCCTAGATTACTGGGGACTACTGGAGACGACTAGAGCCGGCTGTAGTGTTGGCTTTAGAGGCGTCTATACTTAGAAGAAGAAATTCTAAGGGAGGCGGGCGCCTAGAAAAGCTTACCTAATCTAGCCCCCGCTAGGCCTCTCTAGGTAAGGCTCCTAAACCGAGTTCGCTTCGGTTATAAGAGGCGAACGGGCTACCATAACCTACTGATAATTCACCGCGGGAAAGGAATTGGCTAATTCCTATATGCTTAATCGTGTCTTCTAAGACTAATCGTAATATTGCTACTAGGAAATTCGCCTAATCGCGTTGCACGTTTAAACTTTTTAGCGTGCTTGGACGAGAGTTTATAGTAGATAGTAAAGAGCTAGCGTAGGGATGAGCTAGTGGCGGTACGTAGGAAAGGATGCGGAACTGGGCAGTGGCACCACGAAGATTCCACTTACTACTAAACATACCGAAAGTCTTCGCCTGTCCCCCTTTTTGTGCAACTTTTATAAATACAGTAAAAAGAGCATTGACCACGGAAGGTTGTGGTCGTTATCTGGGTCTTTAACCTCCCCGGCATTTTACACTTTCTACCTCGAAGCGGCCGTAAAATTCCGAAGCAAAAACTGTGGGTGGACGAGGAAACTAGGGTATAAGGGCTCACATTGTCTTAGATGAATTTCGGCTGCTCCTGAGCATAAAGGGGGCATAGTACACTTCACCGTTATGGCTCGAAATCGCTTACTACTGCTTACTAGGTATCATTTCCCAAAAGCCATTGGTTGCATCTTTTTCCGGTTGAAGGATGGCGGCATTCTCGCCAGAACTCTTCAGAATGTCTACCCAACGACAGCAAAGGATGTAGGACCAAGAGGCCAGCCGTCCTGACTCTGTGGCTGAGCCCAACATGCTGAGTGACGGTGTGAGGCAGATCAATGCCGTATCTGAGAGTTTGCCACCTGATGAGCGTGGAATTCTACAGCTCTCCGAGGCAGAGGTCGCTCACCAATTCGGCATCGAGCGGAATAGCAGCCTTTACAATCCTGACTTCTTCGGTCAAGGCGCATTGGCAACGCTCAACCCCTATTCCCTCGAGCTCAAGCATTACCGCACTTGGGCCTCAACTGTGGGTGGCTCAACGAGCCGTAGCCCCAACATGTCTCGCCTTCTTTATCCGACCTTACCCGTCATCCAGCCCAACAAAATGAGCGTCAGCATTGGGTGCATCAATCTCTTTCAGGGAATCCTGAACACGACAAACTCTCCCGCACTCGCACTGCAAGCGGGACCCGGTAACCACGCGCGCGACGGAGCGCGATGTTAACAGGTCACTTAGAATGAGGGGCAAGGATAAAGAGTTGTTTGTCTTGTCGCCAAATCAGGAAGACGACTATGGTGCAGTTCGTTTGAGGCGGAAACAGGATTGATTCGTCTAATCAAGCAAAGGGTTTTGCGACTCCTGGCAGAATCTGTCCTGCAAGGCTGCTCCGAGTCATCTTTGACATGCTGGAGTAGAAGCTCCCGAGCTTAGATCTAAGATCCAAGATACCAAGTAATGTTAATGACTAATGGCTGCGAGCGGATTTGGTGTATCCTACGCATTTGGAAACAAGCTGCATCTGAACGTGAGCTGCAGAAACTGTCGAACTCGGTCCAGACTTGTCTAAGACCAAATTCAAGATGTAGGGGTCTGGTGTCGAGTGTTGAGTACCTAAGTTGTTTTATGTATGGACGAGGCAACGAAATATCTCGACCATTCTTTCCCTAGCCTCGCAGCCTCGCAGCCTTGTGGTCTGGGTTTCTCTTCTGAAGCTAGACCCAAAGCGGTGATTTTTCTCTTTATGGTGAGGCACTTGGCACTGATTCGGATGAAAGTTCAGGCTCGTTCTCCAGGTTTAATGTCCTTCGAGTTGTGGAAACTCATGCCAATGCTGATCATACTGCTCGAAGTCTCGGTATCTGAAACGAAGGCCCCAAGGAGCCATTCGCAATCATGCATTTTCACCGATCACGTGATACCTCGTCCTCAGCTGTCTTTCATATTATCAGAGACTACCATTGACTGCTGTCCCAGCTTCCCCATGGACCAGTGTTACCCACGATGACAATGCGGTATCGCATCTAGTGTCAGTATACTTCAGCTGGCATCATTGTGCATACCCTTTGGTAGATCAAGCCATCCTTGTCCGGCAGATGAATTCGAAGAACTTATCCAGCCAGTATTTGTTGTAAATTACAGCAGTGGAAGCATATATTTATTCTTGTTATCTTTCTACTCCCTAAGAATGTAGAGAGTATAAATACAGTGAGAGTAATACTCTAGAAGCTTCCTAACAATTTCCAAGCACGCGGAATGATTTCATAAGGCTTTCATCAATGTCATGATAGTTGGTTGAGCCTCATATCACAACAGTATTGTTCTCCATTTTTGGTTAACTGCGTTTTTCTAGTTGCGTGTGTAAGTATCCTGTGCTATTTCATTCTATTCTAACTCGAATAGAATTATACGGATCATCCATCCGCATTTGCGGACCCGAATGATTGTTCGACAAGAGGTGTGCACTTTATGGAAGAGTCGACGAGATTGTGGGAACTTGAAAAAGCGAAAGCAACTTTGCAAAATCTACAAGCCTTTCTCTCCCTGATCTCTTGGTAAGGACCACCCTGTACGTTCTATGCAACTTATTGAGTTATCGCTGCAGCTTGGTCTTCGTAGGGAAAGACCGCCTTGGTGCACTATGCAAGCCAATCGGTCGCCCTTGCCAGTAACCTGAGAAGGCAGATGAAGAAGGGCTACAAGCAGGGAAAGGAAGAATTCCAGTCGCCAGAGCTCCTGCGATCTATAGCTTGGCACTTTCGGCCGCATTTAATATCCAAACGTAAGTTTATCATATATGTCACAGCGATGCTAACACTTGATAGTGAAGTAGCTCTCGCCTGGATGAAACCGCTAACTCTACAGCCCTTGATGTCGACATCTCCATATGATGTGAAGGCATTAGCGACGGAAGCATTATGGCAACCATATCCGAAGCGGGAGTTGGAAGTGGCCTATTACCCGTTTGCTGTCAATGAAGCAAGGTTTCGCTTGTACGTGATTGCAGCGGATCTACTACCCTTAGTCTTATGCGGCAATCCAGAGGACAGTCCTTTACCTGGTCATGTCTCTTTAGACACTGCGGCAAAGTTCAGCCAGTTCGAGCTGGCCTGGTCCGTGTAATTCTAGACTCTACTGAGATGCCTTGACGCAGGCATTAATTCTTTGCGTCTCATCTCCACGAATTTGTCTTTTGTGCAGCTCTGACTGATATAAGTCGTAAAACACAGTGGATAGTGCAGAGAGCTCGCGTTTTCGATAACGTCTGCACCTGTGGCTTGCCCCTTCCAACCACAGCCCGTCGGATCTCGGTGGTCACGCTGATTCCGCTGGGCTTGTTACTATTTCTGTTGTTTGACCTCTACGAGGTGCTCTTCCGTTACGTCTGACAACTTGGTACTATGTTTGTCGAGAAACGCTGTGGAGCGCAGTCCGGGTACTAGTCATGCCTCAATAAATGGTAACATGTATTTGATTACCGCAGGGGTCCTACATACCTAGTATGTCTTGGACCGCTTTTCCGACCTGGTCTATTCCGGCGATATGTCACCAAGGAATTCCTTTGCATACGCCGCATACATAAGGGCTGCATACTTTTGCTCCGCATTGTTCTTGAACTAATTAATGAGGATGTCACTCTTTATGATATAGATACTATAATTCGCATGACTGGGCTATAGTTAGATCCTGTCAAGAAAACTAGTACGATCGGAGAATTCCACCTCTTGCTTGAGGCAGGGAGTGATGCTTGCCTTCAAGAAGATCTAATGTCGAACGAGACCACTGATGTTGGGAATGTGGCTTTCCATCTACTGCAGCATACACGTTGTGCAGAATCTCTCACAGTCTCCGACGTACATTCATCATCAATAAATCCGCGATCGATAGCAACGTTTGACGCCTCATTAATTGCATGTCCCACAGATGATATTGGCTAAAGCCTGGAGGACTTTATTTCGTAGGTTTGGCGATGGCCGGTTCAGGATTGATCAGATCCAGGAGAGCTAAGGGTGACCGTGAAAGATTACTCGTCATTGGTGTCGGGATTGGAAGCTTCAACCATTCACCGTCTAGCAAATCCACGTTCTATGCGTACCTGTTCATGTTTTTGCTTATGAGAGTTAACGATTTTAGTCGTCCTGAACTTCTGGGCTATGTCGTCCACCTTAACGGGGTATATTTATAGTTCCTCTAGGCCCTGATACCTATTACCCCTAGCTGGTATGGACCCTAGATTAGGCTAGAGGCCTAACGTAACCTTAGCTTACTTAGTACAAATATACTACAAAGTACGTGCAATGCTCTCTCTAGATTAGGTTATTTGCTTTACTGGTCCTTAACTTTTAAAATCTAATTTATATTTAATGTCGCCTAGGATATATTTTATACTATCACGGACGATCGTAGAATCTAAGATTATTTAATATTTCTTCCCGTAATATTCGTGCTTTACATTTTCGCTAATAGGCTCTTGTCTACTACTCTTTCTATTACCCATTTCTAATTTCCATTCGGCTCGGTGGCCTAGCTACCCTAGTATCTTGCGTCGTTCGCTCTTATTTTCTCGTCTCTTGCTCTATCTCCTATTATCTTATATTCACGCATCTCTTTGCAGACTCCATTTTCCTCGTTGTAGAGCATTAGCCACATAGAGATAAGAGTATCGGGGTCACGGAGTATTATTATCTTTTTAATACGGGCCCGCCATCTAAAGATGGTAAGAACTATTAAGATTATGACGACTAAAATCGAATAGCTAGTATACGTATAGATTAGAAAGTCCATCCGGAATTGTAATGGGGAGTAGGGCACCCTACCGATGAGGATAACTAGGCAATCGGATAATGTTACTACGAAGGCGATATAGGCTTAAAAGAAATTTCCCTTCTAGAATGCTAGGAAGAAACTCGTAATTACTGCAGCATTTTGCGTTACTAGTATAGTTGATTCGGGATTCGTATGTCCTTAAAAGAGTTAATGGTAGGGAGTTATGAGCCGAACTTCGCGGTTAAGCTGCTTCTATCTACTATTAAGTAGACTAGTAATAACTATAACTATAAATCTACGCATCGGATTAGAGTTAAAGAAATTATTGAACTAACTATCGCCCTTCGCGAAAAAATACGCTATAATAATAGTAAGAAGCCTAATTATGGCTAAAATAAAGAGGCAGTCGAGAAGATATCGTTTAATAGTTCTACTTCGTAATTCCTACTTTATATATAGCGGCGGGGAAGATAGGATAGATGCCTTAGAGTAGCGGCGCCGATTTGGTAGTTTCGAGTAGGTAGTTAGTCGCGCACTATCTACCTTAATAATAGTATACTTAACGTGACCCGAGATTGTAGGATACTATGCTAATTTATAACGATATAAATCTAGAATATCTCTTATAGTTAATCGACTCGAGCTTTGTTCGATCTTACGGATTTTAGAAAGAAATTTATAGTTATATAAAAGGGAAGCTATACTAGCGATTAACGACGGGTTTACGAAGACTCCGCTCTAACGATGAGTAGATATAATTATTATTAAAATAATAATTATAGTAATAAGAAGGAGGATATTATAATCCGAGCTATAAGTAGTTCTAACTAAGGTAGGGTTCCTTAATAGAGTAGGTACTAGAGTATTAACTAGGACGATAAAGGGAATACTTATTCGTCGGACTATATCCTAAAATATAGGTATAGAATTACTAACGAAGTTAACTATAATAGTCCTACCTAGGGTAATAAGCGTATATA